AGCAGCACTCGCCTCTTCTTCGCGTCGTCCACGAGGCCGTCCGCCAGCAGCGGGAGACCGGCTACCCGCAGGCGATCATCCTCAGCGGCAGCAACGGCAGCGGCAAGACCTACGCCTCCATGGTCATCCTCCGCCAGCTCTTCAACGTCGTCGGCGGCGGCCCNTCGAGTCGCATTGGCAACTTCATTGAGGTGCAGGTCACCGACGGGGCGATCTACCGCACCAAAATTCACTGCTACTTTCTCGATCAGGTAAGAGAAGAGAAAATGTTGTTTGGAAGTTTTTTCGCTAACAAACCTTTTTATGCAGTCTAGAGTAGTGCGAACTCCTCCGAGTGAACGCAACTACCACATCTTCTACCAGATGCTAGCTGGACTGAGCTCAAATGATAAGAGTAAGTTTTGCAGCGGATTTTTGGTGAATGATAACTGTTTTTTGTTTCAAATCAGCTAAACTGTACCTGGACGGTTACACTGCCGCCGACTTTGCCTACCTGAATTGTGCTACCGGACAGCAGCAGCAACATCTGGACTACCACCACCAGGACGTGACTCGCTTTCAGGCGTGGAAGTCCTGCCTCTCAGTGCTCGGAATTCCCTTCCTCGATGTGGTGCGCGTCCTCGCCGCCGTCCTCCTTCTGGGCAACATTCAGTTTGACCAACAGGAACAGAGCAACAGTTCGAAAGACCAGCACAGGCATAACACTCAACTGGATTTTAACGAGCCAACGAGCTCTTCAGGACAGAAGAAGGAGCTGCAGGCGGTGGCCAATCTGCTGGGCGTCTCTAGCACCACCTTGTACAAGGGTTTGACCACTGTAACCTACTCTGGATCTTCAAAGTCTACCAGTGGACTTCAAACGGTCCGCTCCAGGCGAACAACGGCCAGCTCCAAAGCCGTCCGCGACTCGCTGGCCAAGGCGCTGTACATTCGCACCGTGGCGACCATCATCCGCCGGGCGAACTCCTCCAAACGGATTGGCTCCTCTTGCGGGACGACAAGCTCCGAGAGCAACGAATCGATTCACAATACCACCACCAATCACGAGACGGGAAG